ACATCAACACGAGCTGTGGAGAATATGTTTGCAATAAAAAGACGTAACTAGTGGTGCAAGTTGAACTAAATGATCATACGTTGAAGGGGTTTGTTTTATTACCACAGCTAATTATGTCATTTCCATTATGTTATTTCACAGTGGCCTTTCAGCTCTGTACTCAACTTTTATATTAAGATGCTTTAAATACTTTGACACTGTTTGATTTATTCAAAAATGAGTGTGCATTAAGCGAATTACTTAGTTTAAGCATTCAGTATGGAAACTCTTCGTCGCGGAAGAATATCCGTAAGGAGAAGTGAAAATTTTAAGGGCGGATGTATTTAAACCGACACGTTTAACAGTTCAGATTTTGAGCAAACAAAACGAGTGGTGGTGGTAATCAACTGCCCGATCAATAAATAGAGGGTTTCCGTTGTCCTTGGTGAATAATAGTTAAACTTCAGGACAAGCGTTGAAAGAAACAATGGACTCACGTGAATAGATAGTCTATCTTTTGTGGAAACATGGAATGGATGCCCTATTAAGACATAACAATAACAAAACATCAGGGAAATTGTGAGGTCAATACTGAAAAAAACTGCTTTCTAGTTGGTTGCTTTAGTATAAAATAGCTAGATGTGTTATCGTCACAGTAAAAACATATAAACTTTTTTTCACAATGAAAACTGATATATCACTGGCAAAAAAGTAATTTTACCAAATCATCTTTACTTTGATTGTCAATTAACAGGGACAATTGTTATAGACAAAAGCAATATACCATGTCGGTATCGCATGACCCTGAAAACTCACCTTCGTGGTATTAAATACGCTATGACTGACAGATACTGACAGCTCTGTGATGTATTTGGTCACAAAAGGTCACTAGTCTCCTTCCCAGATTAAGTACGCTACTGTCAAAATGAGCGATGTCTATTCGAAATATAAAAACTTCTAATGGTACCAGGTTTACATTGCTTTATATATAGAAACATGTAATGTTAACACTTAACTTCTGAACAGAACAGATATGTTAGAACCTGTTACAAAATTACCCTTTCGTAACAAGATAAAAGAAAAGTAATATGACCTGTATTTGGTGACCTTATGTGCGCCATAGCCCACACGTGTTTGACGGATATGAGTAATTGTCAATTTGACGTGAAATCAGCTGGCATGTGAAGCTTTTATAGTGCAACCATAACTTTTTTCCTAAAGCTTGAAAATAGTAGGTGTGGGAATGCTGACCTTTACATTGTACAAGCGGTGGATTGGTAGAGTTCCTTTCAATTCTTTGATCAATAATGTCGTTGGTATGAAAATGTTAGAGGGACGTATATTCGGTAAAAAAATGAACTGATTTAAATGCAAGAAAAAGGATTTAAATGTAACTTTGACATCAACTTTTCAGTAAATTTATAATTTTATAAGGATTAAGTCATCCTCATTCTCAATCTCGAATGTCCTTATTGCAAATAATTCATTTAGTTTAGCAACATTACTATTTTTACCTGTTATATGCTCTGCAGGCATACATGTAGTAGTATATATTCAATACAGCAAACAGTAGTTCGGCTATTCATTTGTTCCTAACTTACTTGTTCCTATTCAAATAATACTAAACTACCGAACCGGTCGTGAAGTATATCTAGTACAATTGAACTCCGACGCGTCGATAGGTTCGCGTTCCACTTTCGGCTTCAATTATGAATTCTGCTGGAACTTTAAAAATAATATTTTTCTAGTAAATGCTTATTGTTTCTCAGATGCCGTAAAGTTTTAGTTTTTTTAACCAACCCCCACTTCCTTAGGTGTTTTTTTTAGCTTGTTGAAATATAGCGTGAAATGAATGATAAGCGTTTATTTCATTTTTTTGGAAGCATGTTATATATCACTCGCCAACGTACTTACTTTATGTGGTGTATAGGTAATGTGTCGGGATGTGACGGTATAACTCCATTTGCTTTATTCATTAAACCTTCAGGTGTACTAATTGCATGCAATATATCAAGCAAATAATTATTCAGAGTAAAACAATAACCACGCATTGTTCTGGTAAAGTGCATATAAACGTCCGACTATCAGACAGAATATACTGACCCACGCCTACCAACAGTCTTTAGCAACCATTTAATATATTCTAGACAGCATGACCGGCTGAAACGAATATTTTTCATTGGTCAACTACCATACTATGTTACCTGACAACAACACGCACAAGAATGGCATTGATGTATCATAGTTACATAATAGAATAAAACAATAGAACATATGTTACCATGGAACAACGCTGATTCATATTCAGCAATTGTTTGATATTTTGGCAAGTCTGCGTTTATAATAGTACAGACTATAAACTGACATCGACATCCAAAAGGACACGATATTCCACCAGTGATCTTCGTAAGTATGTTAACAAAGCTACCGACTATGGTAATTGAGAGTAAGTAAGATGATAAATTGTACCTATGGAAATTAAGTGTAACTGTGGTAGTATACATCCTCGGTATCCAGGGGTTACGTTCACTTTCGCTCTCTACACCCCTGAAATATGTCATATCAAAATTGAAGGCACGATGATGGCTGTTTGATTGGTGTCAGGTAAAAAAAACCTTACCAATCGCTAGGCTGATACCTGTCCTATGAAGATTACAAAGGAGAGACGCCCGACTTCAAAGCCTGTCAACTTTTACCGTTACGTGACAGCGAGATTCTTTTGGTGTATATCAAAGGATCGAACTAGTCTCCTTGTCTCATCAACAAGGTGGCGCACACCGAGCCTTCAATTTACTATGACATATTCCATGGGCGTAGAGAGCGAAAATGAGCGTAACCCCTGGATGTCAAGGATGGGTAGTATATAGCAAAATTGTGACGATAGAAAATATCTTTGGTGATATAGTGTAACTTTGGTGACAAACTTCAAGTGTTTCATAGTGTTAATATAGTGTAACTGTGCTGATATACCGTAGTATAATTTGATGATATAGTGTAACTATGGTGACAAAATGTAACCATGGTTTACAGCGTTAATAAAGTGTAACTATCGTGATAGCGTGCAACCGTGATGATATATTGTAATTATAGTGATAACATGTAACTGTATTAACATATTTTCAACAGTGATGATATAGTGTCACTTTGATAGTAAAATGAAGTTGTACCGGGGAAAAAATGAACAGAAATGAAGGCATTTTATTTTCGTATATATTCACTTAATAATTGCAATCATTGTATGTTTATGTATTGTATCTCTATCCCGTAAAAATAAAAAGTGAAAACAAAACATTAAGTTATTAATTCGAGGAGAATATCTATATCAAGAAATGTTTTGTACTAAGTTGTGTATGTTGCAATTTATTTAAATATACATAACGGTGTTTAAGCCCAGCTTAATTCCCAAAATCTACTCCACAGGGAAAAGGCGCAATAAACAAAGAAGAAAAATAAATATTTTTGTTTACCTGTAAGTGGAATGTGGTTAATGTTAATTCATTGTTTTGACTTTGGAAAATGTAATTATATAAGGTGGAATTTATTACGGGAATGCAAATATATGTCATAAAATGAATAATTCTTCCCATTGTCATTAATCCGGGCAATTACCATATGTCGGTACATTAAGGTTGGTTATATATTAATATAGCCGGGACACGAACATGCTGGAAAAACAATATTTGTCAAAATGATCATAAACGCTTATGAAAGAAATAATGCTGTGTCACGACAATTATCCAGAAATATGTTTTAATTTCTTATTTATAAATGATATTTACAGTCTCACAAAACAATACATACAAAATAAATATAAGTGAAAAATAATTTGCTTCAGGATTTAGTTCGAAATGTGGCAGCAATTCCCTTCTCGGTTCGAAAAAATTACATGCGAGTCTTCATGTGCCAAAACTACGGGACGTACAGTTTTGAGGGCTACATGAAATAGACTATTGAGCACGAACACTTTATAGTGATGAATATTTTGAAAATGCAATAGAAACGCACATCTTCTCTCATGAAAGAGTTCTAAAAATATCAGTCACATTTACACAAAGTAAATATGCAAAAAAATATTGCCTTGAAAAAGAAGAAGAACGTTTGTAACCTTAGCACAATTAGTTAAGATTTTATTTTAAATGTTTATAAACCAAAAAGCTCACTTCGCCTCTTCCAGGCGGTCTGTTTTGTATTTTTTTAGCTTTATTTGTGCAAGACCTATCAGCGAAAGACGGGATATTACATGCCTTTTCTGGTGTTTTTTTTCATATTCAGGTACATTTTATGTTTCTTTCCTTAGTAAGAAGATCTTTTGACAACTACATGCATTTTCTCTATCTACCAGATAATGACGTTAAAGTCATTTCAGTCGTTTATCCATATAACAATATGACAAAAAAAATCACTTCATCGCATTACATATGCACATGACGAAATCATTCACCACTTCTTTACATGATAATTAAACGCAACAAGAGCATACTGCAGAGACAGCAAAACCGTAATTCAATTTCAAAGATAAGACCATGTGCTCCAGAAGGGCAAGCGTCTAAATAATATACCAGTATGTCTGGCTGATTTGTCAATGTCAATCAGACATGTTGTACGTGTTAGAATTGGTTTCCAACTCGAATGCATGTTCCCAGTCAGATGTTCTGGATAGCTGCGTCCTGTTGAACAATGATCGATTTTGTGTTTTCTATCATAAATGATTAACTCAATCACCCCTGAAGACCCATTTGAATTCTCCCAGTTCAAAGGTTGGAACAATTCATTATGAAATTTCAGGGATGAAATTAGTCAACAGATGTTACGGTTATGTTTGTCATTGTCTACTATGATGGAAGACTGGTTCATGGTGTCTATGTTATTCCGTCTTTGCGTATTGCAGAGTTATCTTCTCTTTTGAGCAGGGATTAATTGTTACGTCACTTGTTTGTGAGAGTAACGTCATCAAATTTTGAGAAAACGACGTAATTTTCTCACACAAACCAATGACGTAACAATCAATACCTGCTCACAAGAGAAGATAACTCTGCAATACGCAAAGACGGAATATGACTGTATCATATGTATATATATAGGAAAGAAATGTCCCACCAAAGAGTGAAGCTATTTAAAAATTGTCTATACCACTGGAAAGAGCACATCAAAGATTGATTTATACTGGAAATATAAAGTGTATATACAAGACAGCATTAAATAAAGATACAATACTTAATATGGAAAATAAATTAGAAAAAAGGCATTGTCATTGTATTGTGACGTCATGCCCATGCATGATTGATTTACTTTATATTAGCTGGAATTTATAACAAAAAATGAATAACTTCGCCCTTTATCAATTATTCCAGGATATTACCATATGAATACAATATGAAGTCATGAGTTCGATTCTTGATCTAGCCCTGGTGAATATCTGTTGATTCATATATTTTATCAATTTCACCTATAGCCTGTTTTCATAAAAGTCCCGTAAGGTTTTCAGAAACGATTTTTCAAAGCTAATATTTTGCCGGAAAAACAGTTTCCAATCCGTATTTACAGTTTTTAGCAGTAAGGCTTTCTCTGATGTGAACACTTTGGCTCACGTGAGCTGTTACAATGAATGTAAGAAAAATCATGTCCAAAGCAGTTTTTGATTTCACGACAGACATAACGAGCATCACAGGTAGAATAGACGCGTATTCTCTCCTATTCGACAATGTCTTCTACGCTTGCTTCAAGGAAAATATATCATTGTCCTGCCATTGACAAGCGCTTATGACCTCATCATGAAAACAACCAGATGATGTCCTAGTATTGCCCGGCGCATGGCGCACAAAGAAATACTTTTCATCGAAATTACTCATGAAAAAAGTAACAATTTTCCAATAAAAGTAAAAAATAAAAAAGACAATTTCATTTGTTAATATTTAAGAATATCGCCATTCTGAGCTTACGATTTTGTTTTTGTGCGTTGACGGTGTGCTGGAGTTTTTAAATTATAATTCAAAGCACCATTTTAAACAAGTACATAATATGAAATATTCAATGAGTGTGAGCTAGGTAACCATTGCAACTTCTCTAGTTAAGCATCAATTATCAATTAAAAAATTCTCATAAGCGGTGTACAACCTATTAAATAAAATAAATATCATAATTTGTGCATAGATGTATTCACATAGCCTTGCAAGTGGTTATTCTTGTCAAATTTAAATGTCTCATCCTGGATAGAAACATTGCTATTTTGAATTGTAGTGTTTTTGGATGTCATCTTGACATTATTTGGCACTGATGGGTTGATTGGCTGTTGATTGCTAATGGGTGGCCAATCATCACCAGCCATTTCCTCCTCTAGTAGAGAGTAGGTGTGGCGATAGCCTGCCAGCCACTCTTCTAACTTTTCCTGAAGTTTGTAGCTGATAAACGTCTCACTGAGAACGTAGTCCTGAAAGTAAGCAAACATCAATTTCCTGTAATCTTGCTTTACTGATATAATGAGATGGAATTATACCAAGCGTTTACACAGTTGTCACATTCAAAACTAAATAAAGTATTGTTTCTTCGTTGTTATTTCCTTCTTATATCTATGAAAAAACTCAAAATGTTTGTTTACCTTAAGACTTTGCATCTTCACAAAAGCCCAAGTTGCACAAGAACGCGAAAACCAAGTCAAATTAGCATACGTGATAGATATCTTCCAAAGGTGTAACATTTTTAGAGGGGATATATACCATATTATATTAAGATTTTCTAATATACACTCAACCAAAGTATGATTTTAATAAGAAATATAGGCGATTACACATGATATTACAATGGTCATTCAGCTGGATTTACAATCTAAGCTACCACCTCTTAACGTTGTTTGCAAAATATTGAATTTAATTCACAGTAACTGAAACTATAATTTCAGTTTGTTTTTATCTTTTCCTAATCCTTATGGTGTATCATATTAAAAACTTACGGTTGACATTTGGTATAACGAGAACCGCACTTATCAATAAACCTCATTAAGCTTCCAGACGACGTCGTCATATTGCACAATTATGTTTCATCAAATTAATTCGTCTTTTGAAAAGTATGATTATTACCTCCAGCATAATACAAATTAAGAAATCCATGATGGCTAGACCAACATACATAAACCTGTAGGGGACTGACGGGGATGGCTTCAGCTGGAAGAAACAAAGTTACAACACTAAATATTTAAGGATCCATGTCTCACTTCACTCTGGTTTTTCGTACTTACAGTAACCTCCCCCTCATCTCGATTTGGATATAACTTTAGCACAGTTAGAACAGGACAGTTTCGTTAACAAGGTAGATAAGTCAGTCAGCGAGACAGTTTAACAATATTAAGTCCTGAGTTCGATTCTTGGTCTAGCCCTGTTGAAAATTTTATACTGTTGATTCATGGATTTTATTAATTTCACCTTTAGCCTTTTTCATAAAAAGTCCCGTAAGGTATGTTTTTTTTTTGAGAAACGATTTATCAAAGCTAACATTTTGCCGGCAAAAAAGCAGTTTCCAATCCGTATTTACAGTTTTTGGCAATGTTACGGGGGTCCTTAACACGTTGTATCTTATAAAACGAGGAATTCAAAATCGATGTGGTTTGTGATAAAAAATCACCAGTTGGAAAATTTGTTTTCCGGTAACAATAATGATAATATAATTACATTTACTGAACCAGCAGAAGAATGTAAGTGGTCCGTCAAATTAACCTGGTAATGGACATTGATAGGACGTCTCTATCACATGTCGTTTTCGATCGGCACGACCCTGTTCACTTGTCATTTTAATGTAAACGTTAAACCTTTATAAAAAAAGTTCAAAAGTTCAAAAACAAAATATTCTAACCTCTAAAAACGTTACAGCTCCTGGTACTGGGTAAATGGTAAGCCACAGTGTTATAGCAGTGCACACCACTATATTTCCTAGGAACCAGTCTGAAAGATAATAATATACATAAATATAAGTGTATACAAGAATAGCCATTTCAGATTCAGTTACAATGATGATGACATGTCATGAAAAAACAGGTACATTGTCTAGGATAATTACAGCGTAGTGATTACATGCTCATTTACAATGATACTTACCCTAAAATTTTATCAGGTTAATTTATAATCATTACATCATTGTTATACCAGCTATATATACAATAATAATAACACTAAAATTATAATAGATTAATTCATTATTATTACATCATTGTTTCACAAGGTACATTAACAATGATAACAAGTAGTTATTGTAATGGTGGACCATTACATAAGTCCCCCAAACTGCCCCCATACTCGCAAAGATACATCAGAAAAGGATCGCAATGCCATATAATATACCAACAATATACTTACTAAATTTGAGCATAAAACAATTTCTAAATTACGATCAATCAGAATCCTCTGTGTGGTTGTTATATGCAACGAAACCTATATTTCGCAGTCCCATAATACCCCTTTTAACCAATTTCATGAAAATCTAACAATCTCTAAATTTCGACCAATCAGAAGCCTCCGTGCCTCGTGGTTGCTATGACAACGATATGAAAATAAAGACTTGAATGCACAACTACGTATGCCCAATATTAATTATGTGAAGTGTCCAAATATAATCTGGACCAAGGTTTTTGAAGATTTTCTTCTATTTCATATAGGATTTCCTTCTAATATCAACCAACCATTGAACTATGATTTTCTATGGCTTCCCCTTGCCAGCAGTTTGCATATCTGCATACGCCTAAGGGTGTTGCCCAAACAAAGAGTCCACTACTTATACCCTAAACAATAGGGAATTAATCCTTCATTGTCTATATATCAGTAGGGTCTCCAACCGTCAAGTCAGTGGTCAAGGCTGACCAGACTGACTCTACCTAATCTTATTGTTCTAATGTCACGGTGTGGTCATTACCCTGTCAGTTGGGAGAGGACTATACCATTTATTGGAACTAAGTATATAGTTAGGTGTTATTCAAAGGGTAGAGTCTATTTCATGATAGATGAACCTGTATTTTCACAAGTTCTTTATAACCTTAAGTCTTTCGACTCATCGGTTGCAAAGTTACAAAGTGCATTATTTACNACAAACATCAACATATTAACCAAAAATCCACATTTTTATCAATTTAAAAAACACTTTTTACAGCCATAAAATATAAATACTCTTAGTTATAAAATATAATTTGGAACTCAGAAAACTTTTCTCGATCTGATTGTCAATTGAAATAATGTCCGATAAATTCTTGTTTTTCTACTTATACACTCGGCAGTGCTTGAAACAGTTTATTATTACAGCTTAAAATAAAACAAGAGGCCCATGGGCCTTTACGGTCACCTGAGTTCGGATATATTTATACAAAGATTTGATTATTGTTTTTAAAACATGAACAGAAATATTATTCAAAGTCACAGAAAACAATAAAACCACCTTATTCAATATCTAGCATACAGATTTAAGACTGAAAAGTATTTGAAACTAGACCCTCTGTTTCTTAACAAGGAAAACGAAGAAATTTTAGTACATTTACTCCTTTGGGCCCCGCCCTACAGCCCTTAGGGGTAGGGCTGACTCAAAATTTTCAAAGTATCAAACTGTCAACTCAGGGTTATAATTCCTATCAAGTTATCAACATGTAATATCCAAAGTATCATTTGCCAATATCAACCATAATAAATTGTGCCATCCCACCCCACCCCCTTCCCCAGGGGTAAACGTTTTGAAAATATTTTGGTAGAGCACCTGAAAACCCTTCCATATATGAAGAGTATTTGATTCTACCATATCTGGTTCTTGAGAAGAAGATTTTGAAATTTCAGTCAATTTGGCCCCACCTATCAGGCCCTGGCGGTCAGTCAGGGCTGAAATGTGCATACCATCAAACTGCTTTCCAATACTGATAATGCTAACCTAAATTGAATTACTTCCAGTGGAAAGGAAATTAAACAAATGTTAGTCCAAAATGTGATTTCCCTATATAAACTATAGTAAAGTTTACCCCCTCCCCAGGGGGGAAACATGAAACCCCAGGGTCATGAAATTCACAAGTTTGGTAAAGCACTTTAAGACCCTTCCATCTATGAAATGTATTTGATTCTACCATATCTTAGTCTTGAGAAGAAGATTTTGAAATTTCAGTCAATTTGACCCTTTTTGACCCCACCCATCAGCCCCTGGGGATCAGTCAGGGCTGATGTTTGCATACCATCAAACTGCTATCAATACTGATAATGCTAACCCAACATGAATTACTTCCAATGGAAATTAAACAAATGTTGGTCCAAAACGGCCTCATTTATAACGATACAATATATATTAAAAACAGACTCATCTACAATGATGCAATTTAACAAAACAAGTTAATTTATGTCATACATTGACAGTGTTATTATAACAAGCTCGCTCACAATGATAATAATTATAGTACAGATTTAGCAGGATGACCTACAATGCAGTCTAGTATAATAATAGCGTATATTTGTCTTACCGAGGTATTTATTTGCGAGAAAATGGGTTAAAAAATGAATAATGAGATGCATATATTCATTTTTTAATTAAACATGTTCTCGCGATAATGTTGATAATTCACAACGGACACAAGCAAGTTTATCCGAAAATTATACTTACATATACTGCTCGGACATTTTTTGTTAATATACATGAATATGCGTTTAATAATCCTTATTTATATAAAACGTCAGTTCAAAAGGTTTCAAAAGTAATATAATATGAATTTCTCTCACTTACAATTGGTAAATATAGACCTTCTATAGGGCTCCCCCTTGGATAAGGTTATGGCGAGAATGATATACTGGTAACATGACATAATATATACGGCGGTGTTTTGGTAACTCGTATAGTCATACTCCCATCTACTGACCAGAGGCACATACCTACAAATTAAAAAGAAAAAAATAAAGTACAACATCGTCACACACAATGAAACCGGAGACTTATAAGTATCACACCGTCCATATGTAAAGTTACCTGAACATTAAAACGAAAACCAAGTACCACTTCGTCAAAACACCACGAAACCGGAGACTTACATACAAATAAAGAAAATGAGTACCACATCGACCATGCACAATAGAACGAGACGTATATAACTAAACATTAAAACGGAAACCAAGTACCACATCGTCAAAACACAACGAAACCGGAGACTTACATACAAAACAAGCATTCTGTGGGTATTGATGAATCAATGTCCCAACCGGCGACCCCAACAGACTTAACATTAATGCTAAAACCAGCATCCTAACACTATTATTAAGTCAACGGTGACCATTACAAAACATTGACCCCAACTTTAACCTGCAGCACTTTAACCTGCAGAAGTACCACATCGTCAATACAACATGAAACCAGAGATCAACTAAAGTTAGGTGTTTTTATGTTGGATCTGTCAATATGTTTTTCATGAAATTCGGTTAAGTGTGAAGGTGACATACGAAGCGAAACATAGCGAACAAAAATATTCAATCATAGTAGACTTTGAAATATCAAAAAATTGGAATCGGGCCACTAATGTAGATAAGTCTGACTTACGAAGTGACGAGTAGTCACAACATCTTTAGTCTATTTTAGAAAATGCTGATACTGAGAAAAGGCTCTGGCACATCGAAAAATAGCAACGATGCAATGTTTTCTCAATAAGTATAACACATTTCCAGATTAAAAACAAATCATGAATGCACTGTTAACATTTTTAAATAGAAGTTCCATTAAGTTACGAAAAATCACCTTCGTTGTGAAATCTGATTTTATCAAAAAGTTCAAACTTTTTTAGCCACTAAATCTGGAGGAACGCATATAATATCAATTAAAGCGATATATCTGTAACTTTCTTGTTTCACAGAATTGAATTCAAAAATTTCCTCTCCTGACAGACTTACCTCAGATACATGTACCCTGCAAATTTTATAAAATTATTCCTTATTTCTTATTATTTACGGGAATCCTGAAAACTATAAATAACAACACAAATCGTTATAATATGCACAGTGAATGTAATATTTACTCAGTACAGGTTACATCTGGCTGTTTGGCGAATTCTTCGCTCGATTGGAATAAATTGTCATCCGGAATCAAACAAACCCACAACGTTTAATTTGTACATTGGACGGGCGTATGAAAGAAACAACAAACCGACCGCTATTTAAACCTAACTTGCTCTTACAAAATAGTAAGTATAACTGATTTATTATATGTAGGCTAGGGTTGTCAGGAAAATTAAGCACTAATTTTCCGTATACAATATAAGTTTACAATTACGCGTTAATTGTATGTCCTACGTCAGCGGTGCAATTAAACAATATGTTATCCTACGTAAGTAAGGGTTGTCACTAGACTATGTCTTTGTCATGAATGACATCTGATGTGTTAAATTAGCATGATAACCAACTCACACTAGACATTAAAAAACAAAACCGTTGCATGCCAAGAACCATCATAATGTTCTGAAGTTATTTTTTAGTGGTGAATACATTTTCTGACGATTATATGTTAAAGCTTCAATGAAATAGTTTCAAAGAGGTCAAATGAGCGCTGTGAATCTCAAAATTTAGCATATCTTTCGTTGTAATAATTTTGAGACAAAATATATAGATTTCATCTAAATGTTGAGTTCATTTTTTTGTGCTAAACAATCTTATCTTATCTAAATTTAAACTTTTTAAAACATTGCTTTTGATATCTAATGATTGTGTAATATATTTAGGAATCTTTAAGTGACAATTAACTGTTGGTATCTGTTTATGGGTCAATGATGCATACGGAATAATGTGGACGAATAAATCAGAAATAAAAACGCAATGGATTATGAGTATCAAAAGTGTTCATAGTTCAATCCATGAAATGTATCATGTAGTTGTTAAAACAGGACAGGTCGTGTTTATGATTGAGTGTTCTTTTTCATTATCAACAGCAGGAACATAAAAAAAGACATCACTTTTTACCTTCATGAATGTTATCATTTTTTAGGTAAAAATTAAAGACACATTATAACAAGAAGCAGAGAAAAAATGTTAACAAGAAAGAAACACATTTAGCAGCTATGATGTCATGGCAGAGACAGACCAATTTCAACAGAGAGCATCATGAGGCCGATTTTCAATAAAAAGCCTTAAATTCTGTACTTTGTATGTATTTTAACTGGTGACGACTGTATTTCAAGACGTCATTATTTGTTCGTTACAGAACTTCTGACACAGACATAAACTTTTGTATAACAATGTATAAAGTGACCTTTCCAGTTAATTAGGTAATACATTTCGAAACATTTCCAATTTAATGGTACACTAAACGATCGAGTATACAATACATGACTTTTGAATCGGTTTGCGGACACACATACAATAACATGTGTAGCTTAAGCGTGGCTTGTAAATGGCGAATCATTATTTAATTGCTTACGGCTAACGAATAAAATTACAACCCTGGTGCGCTAATTTAATTGTTTTGTACACGGTAAATGAATGATAATTGTTTTTATCTGACACTAGGCGTCACAACTGCCAAGTAACGGTGCATAAATCTAGTTGGTATATGGAATATACAAGTTTAATTACACCGAACACACCTGACTTATTTTCACGGTAATAGTGGTGTAACAAAACGTTACTTGTTTTACTGTGAGAAACACCCCATTGATATATGTATAGTTAAACATAACTGAAAAACTTATTTTCTTAAAACATGCTATATATAGCATTTCTTTTTATTAACCATCTGAACTAGACAAGAAAATTGCATTACTTTCCATATGTTTCAGGCCAAGTGGCTTTTTCAGATTCAGAAATAACACATTTTTTTTTCTGGGAGAACAGAAACATTGTTTACTATTTCGGATTGAATTAAAACAATAAAACACACACACCTGTTTGAACTGTGCAAGGTGGGTCACAACCTTTATTTTTACAACAATATCGATATATTGGCGAAGGGATCACTATACTTACTGATTTCAATATACTCCAATTTATACTGAAGGTTTCGTATTTACATTTTTCCCAATTTCCTGTTTATTCTATCGTATCTAGGTTGTTAAATTGCAATGAAATGAATCCTATCATCTGTGCTCTTCAAGGAAAAAAAATCCTAATCAAATATCCAATCCCGAATAAGTTAACGTACCTACGTCCTTTCTTTTTTTTCCCTCACGTTTTTATTCATTTTCTCAATAAAGTAATACATATACATAACACAGCACAAGACACAGCTTACATACATTCTTACATACTTAGATATTTCTTCTTACAATTTACTGAACGTCATGTTATCAATACTTAATATTTTTATTATTGATTTGATTTTATATCAGGCCTATTTATGTGTTTACCATCCCCTCGTTCACAATTACTACAGCTCCTCGCTATCAAAAGTCCACTATAGCACTAGGTGGCTTGGATCGGATGAAAAAAACATTAGCTTCCTGACATAATATACCGTTGTAAGAATTTAAATATAAAACATAAAACGTTAATTTCAACATACTTAACCCTTTTCACCACTCGTCTAGATCAATGTATGGTAGGAGTTTACTAAAGTTACATAGAGGTGAAAGGGTTAAACATCATTTCACTCACTCCAATCTTTCATTCATTCGTTAACTCTTTTACCGTCTTTTCTCTTTGTTCCCTTATACATTGTAGCTTCATTATAATTTTGAAAGTAACCTGTACTCCCCTATTTTTATAATCTATACATAATCAAATGGTATTACACACAAACACCTTTCTGTTTCAACAGTAGTTTATTACCCCATGCATCAAAGATAGGTTCATGAAGGTACAGACATCTGTATGGTGCAATACGATGTATTTCACATACTGTATACATTACCAAATTTTAAAAGTGCAATTTAATGTGTATTATTCGTCTCCCATCATTTAAATAACATAGAATATCTTGCACACGGATGTAATTTGTCTTAAAACTACAAGGCACACTTAAACTAATTGCTCCGTCACAACATTTATGTAATGCTTAATTTAGAACGGCAACAAACTGCATGTTACACAGAATTTAATTACTTGGTATATAGTTACATTAGCAAAACAAATTAACTACACTTTATATATAGACTGAACATAAATAAGAAGAGTACTTGTTAAACAGATAGAACAGGAACTTCGGGAACTGTAGCAGTAATGATAAATCATAACTTTGAAATAGGATATTTAAAAACGGATTTCCATTGAAAAAGCTGTGTTATAAAACGGGACGGGACGTACACAAAAATATACTTGAATCAAAACGAGTTTGTGATTAAAATGGATGTTTACCCATTCCGCCCCTTAGAGGATATTAATATGAATGTTAATCTTTATGACCTAATTTTAACATCCACTATGGGGCGGAATGGGTGATCACACTCCCCGTCTCTCTGATGGCCTGCAGAATTAGGAGATGCTGACAAAGTCAATGGACCATGAAAGGTAGGCTGCATCCAGCATTTGATGCATTGGTTAAGATGTACAATCTAAGATGCACATATGGTCTTAGTTTGATTGGTCTAGCACTTATACTATCAGTGAAACTAATTCAAACGCAAACAAATTATGTTGACGCCGCCGGCGCCGTCGCCGGAAAAGCAACACCTTAGTCTCGCTTCCGCTACTTCGTCGCGGCGAGACAACAATGATTAAGGGAACAGTTCATATGCAGAAATACGTACCAGTCCTGTTTAGAAACGTGGAGGAAACAGAAGACCTGGAAACATATCTGGACACCCACTAGCGCCAGTAACGAGAGCACGGGACCAACGCTGAACAAGTTAATGATAGGGGGCTTTTTCACCAGGTAATCGTATCCAGACGTCCTCCCAACTGTAAACATCAAATAGTAGCGAAATCAGTATTTCTCTTAGTATCTATGATTAGGATATAAACTATCTTTTGTACAACAATTATGATTTTTTTCCAGTTTATATGTATCACTCTCTTACTGACGGGGAGAGGAACTGAAACCGGAGCACCCGGAGAAAACCCGCATTTCAAAAATGGTGCAGAATACTTATAATAAATAATGAAACAATCTGCCAAACAAATATGAAATATAAATTATATTCAACGGAGTACAGATATTCCCTATCTACATTGAGTAACTGTAAATGTAATACTTTAGAGTTATCATATAGATTAACTTTTTGCGTTTTGTAATGTAATAACAAGATTATTTAGTAAACGTTTTAACATAAACTTTTAAATCAATTAATGTTATTTATATATATTTTGAGAAATATACATGCATAATTTTTGCGTTCATTCGAGAGGGTATGCAAAAGCAATAAAACTGAGCCCTGGATAATTATGTAGACAGGATAGTTATGCAGACAGGATAATTATGTAGACCATATATACGCTAGTTTCTGCATCTTCATGATTTGCGTTCATTATTGTAAGTTTATTACCTAAATGTTTGTAATACATACTAAACGAAATAAGTTATTTTAAAATCTTTAAAACACGTTGCAGTGTTAAAGGTATTCATGGAATGGTGGTTTTCAATGTCTTTGCTAAATCATACACAGTATTAGCTTTTAGGACTATTCGCTGTTTAGCGAAATTCGACAGCAGGTATAACATGAGGAAACTGTTTTCTGACTTTTTTATGATACCAAAATATACTTACATGTCACAGCCAAAGTGGCCAATAAAAACATATCCACATAAAGGTACTCAAAATCTGACATGTTTTGTGACACCTGAAAGACAATAAATACGTACATTACCTATCCTGTATAACCAAACATGGCTCATACATAAGTCTTGCCTGTTATATTTATCTAGTCATTTAAGACAAAATATTCTCCAGCCTCTGCATATCGAGTGGAGAAAATTTTGGCTCTGGGCAAAGCCACGGTTCTGACCCGAAGTCTACACCCTCGGGTAGAATTTCCCTTTCCAACATACCTGCATATGATGGACTATATCATGGACTATATCAATTATCAGTTATAATGTAAGAATGGATTTCATAAGCTAAAGTTTTGTTTTTATAATATCGAGAAAGTTTATAAACTTGACATAGAAGAATCTAATGACATAAGAATGGTATCATCGGTTATATCTGATGGCAACCATCAATCTATAGGTTAGCTTTTGCCAATTTGCTATTTTCTTGTGCGTTTGTTAATACAAAAACATGCATGATTGAATTTGCATATTTGAGATTGGTAGATAAGCATATCATGAAAATTTTCTGTCAAATTAAATCAGTTCACTTCATTACTGCAAAAACAACCCCGTATACAGTATTTGCTTTTAAATGACCAAAAAAATGCATTGGAAATTATCATAGATATTAAATGTAAATGGAGATACCCATTAAATATTTAAATGAGAATGCAAATTTTCTTACACATCATGATTGCATTCCTTTTTTTGCTAATAAAATACAGGTCACACGTATTATTATACGAATGACTCATGGTCATCAATTTTGTCAGATTCCATACGCATATGATGATAGTATGTTGGGTTCACCATAATGTTTTCGCAAGGAGAATAATCAATCTCATCTGTGTGATGCACACTGAGACCCTCGTCCTAAACTTCAAAAAACGTATTACCAGGTTGAAATTTCTGTCTACATCGCAAAGGAGAAATATTTGAAATCATCAGCAAAAAGTGTTTACCCAGTACAGAATGCACACGGAAGTGAATTCAGTGAGACTGTAGCATGCCATAAACTTGAATAGACCGAATGACGTTACCAAGGCTGCTCTTCCTTCCCTGAAATGGTATATGTTCGGCCATGCATTTAAGGGTTGATGTGACATGCATCAAATTTGAAAGGAACCTCAGCAATAAAAAACACAAAATTATTTTAATGACTGTAATTTAGACATTGGTTAATGAATAAAATAAAATTAATGATAAAGCTGCACACAAAAAGCACGATAGAACATAATTGAATTTTTGAACTATAAGAAGTCGGTATTTCTTAAACAAGTTGAGGGCATATTGTTGTAACATAATTTAATGTGGTAAACGAGGAATGCCATCAATAAAACTCGTGCATTCTATTTTATATCGCGAGGATGTTGACGCATTATTTGAGTGCAAATGTAGACAGAAAATATTTATAAAAGTCCTTATAATATCATTTCAGACGTCACAACTCATGATAGGCAATAAGGTTTGTTTGAAAACAAAAGTAATTGTGATGCTTAGCAGAACTATGCCTCACAGCATTTAAAATATTTTTCTTACGTATTTAGGGAACAAGCAAAGAGAAAACGGATGAAGCACATGAAGAGTTTTTCCTTGAGCTGATATCGGCAGTTTTACCTGATTAGTGTAGGAACACACTCAATATTTGCTTTTTTAGATGTGAAAGGTGATGCGACTGACGCCTCTGCCTCTGACAGAGAAATGCCAGCGTGTGCCGTCTTCAGGGCCCCACAGTCATTGGCTCCGTCGCCACACATCCCCACGTAGTACCTGGTAACAGAGGTCAATTATTAGGTCACAAAAGTCACAAGGTTAAATGGAAGAAGCCACGATGTGTCAAAAAATACATTACTGATATGGGCATATACATAAGTCAAAACATGGTCTAACATGTCAGATCAAAGTTTTGCAAGAGATAGTGGGATCAATCTAAAAATACTAATGTGGTGTGATGTGATGTTTAGCTGTTTTAGTATGTATGTATGTTGGAAGTAGATATGTTATGTTATGTTATGTTTATGTTGTGTAGGTATACTATGCATGTAGGTTATGCATGTTATATGGATGTATGTTATGCTCTGCTCCGTGATGTATTATGTATGTGTGGTGTGTATATACAAATATATATAATCAGAGCGTAAGGCGCCCGTAAAGCTCTTTAATGGTAACAAATTTAATTTGTTTCGTCCGGAAGTAGACGTCCAGTGAGGAAACAGGAAGTGTATCCTTGAAGCAAAGACAATTGTGTTTCAACCCATACATGAATATCTTCATATAGTTCATATTATCTAGATAAAACATAATATACGTTCTGAATGAAAAATGTTTATCCCATTTCAGCAACGTATTTCTTTTTCACAACGCGTGCCGATTTATAACTAGTTACAGGCAGAATCTGTAATTTTATTTGGCATCATTACCTGTCAAACCTCGGTGACAGTTACACAATTTGAAGTTCAATACGGTGTTTCAGGATGGAACAGTAATTGAGACTACATATCGATATAAAGACAATTTCCGTTACATCAAATTATAACATGTTTTCTTTTTTTAATTTCATTTTTTAACTAACATCTCTATACATTTACTTAGACTAATCGTTAAATCTGTAATATGGACTTTTTTTCTATAGCAATTACCAAACAGTTTTCCCCCAGCTTATCTCAATCATTCTTTTTGTGCCCTGACGGAAGCACGCAGAGGGTTTAATTCTTAATATGGGAGGTAGCTGGAGTATCCGGAGAAAACCCGCGTGGTCGGGCTGGTGACCGGGATAGAATCCGGCCATCTAGGTGAAGACGAGCGCATTTTCTACTGCGCCACCCAACCCATCATATACGTTACGCACAAGAACACATATTTAGCTTTGACTGGAAGAAAATGGCGTCATTGATGCAAAAATTATATTTTGAATACATTTTAACCAATCATCAATGATATAAAAAAAATCTACATACGGAGACCGGGGCAAGTTTGGCCATCCCTGATATTTTTTGTTTTTGAGCTGATATTTACAACTTCAAGGATCTTAGCAGTTAAGTTGGCTGGGCATTCAACGATAAAATGGCGAGGAAAACTCTAATGTAAAATGACTTAACAGGAGAAAATTACTTTTGATATGGTAGAAAGAAAATCATGATCTCGCTTCTAGTTATGCGAACTTTATGAAACGGAATTGCTACTTTTTTTACAGTCAAACGTGTAACACACTGCTAGCTTCAAATGATAATACATAAAAGCCAAGCCAATCACTCACTACCATATTGCTGTAAGGATAAGAATTTATTGAATTATCAATTTGGGTCCGAACAGGTTCGACCAATAATACCGTGGCAAGGTCGGCCTATGTAGTTATCACATAGAAAGTCGTAAAATTGGCGGTAAAATCTGACGTTGCATGTTTTATGACGTCATGATTAAGCCGATTCTAATGGGGGCCGAACTTACCCGAATGGGGCTCGTTCGGCCATCCGATCTACCGACAGCAAAAGTTCAATAATGTTCAAAAACGGACGTGCTGCCATACTTCCTAGAACGGACTTTAATTTTTTTTAAAAGGCCGAACTTGCCCCGGTCTCCCTATTGGTATGTCGGTCTTAATCTCATTAAAGTTTGTGTTTTATTGATATTCCTCGACTAGCCGACTTTAAATAAAGTTTTTCTTATCTCATTCTGAAAGTTGTATTCTGAATCAGTAAATATCAGAGATCAACAAAAGCTACGATCTTGTAAGGCTTTGCCTTTTCATATTATGTAGCTATACTAGGTTGTATATGTTTGTATTGGTTGCAAGGTTGCAGATGCGTTCAAATGTATATATGTAGCTATATGTTGTGATGTAATGTTATTCATGTATGTATTTTGTAATAAATCAAAATACAACAAAAAGATGTATATTAATTTTTATAATAGAAAATTTGCGCTAAGGTCATATAATCCTATTGAACAGGCAATAAACTGTGTCTTGTGGCCTGTTGTATTATCTTATAATGATGATTTGGCGTTAAGACTATCAAAACTATCGATATTATCATCCAGTTTACCCCAAGTCTTGCAGAGATTCGATCAGCTGGGCTTTCTGTTCTGGAGACATCCTAGCAAACACGACTCCCTTTAGTACAATTTTGGGGAGGACATCAGGGAAGTGCTGACGAATTATAGCCCATGTCTTCCCATCCAGAGCAAACCTTAGATTTCTGTCTTTTGAATTTGGTATTGCATCAACCTTTGAAATACATAAAATTGTATATAAAAGCAACCCTTTTATATGAATAGCACATATGTGATATATTTTTACGATTTTGATGGTGATTATTTTCAATTCCAATATATGACTCTTTCAGTTCTGATGCCTATATATTCAGAATATTCAAAACTGAAGCATTTTAAGTTAATTGGTTCAAGCATCCGAACATTAAGTACCACATATCGGGTTATTTACGCGGGCTATTTTTTTCGCGATTTTGACTCAAAATTAAAAAGATAAATTCACTCGGGCTATAATTTCGCGACCTAGACACACTCTCACCGATGTTGAATATTTTGAATTACTCTTTCGCGATTACGTTAATGACCCGCAAAATCATGAAAATATTGTTCTCGCGGAAATATCCTGCCTTACAGTATCATATTTTGGGTTTAAAATATTTAATTTGATTTGGATTGCAAGAGTTATGTTTCTTTCATCAACGGAAGCAATGGAAACACCCAATAACAAGAACTCAGTGGTAACGATACTTTAACGTAAACTCTGTATCAAATACAGTTCAAAATTAATACTTATACTTACCTATGTTAAATTGTCAAATTAAGACATTGATTCTTACCCTGTCATTGTTTGCATATGTATACTCCAGGTATGCTGGAGCAGAGTCACTTGCTAGCTCACGCCCCTGTACTAGGATAACATTATCAGTCTCGTTAACCATTCCACACTCCTCAGCAACCGATAGAGCGGTCAGAATATTGTCACCTAAGGTAGAGACATTCATAGTATAAGAAATTTGTAAATAGCAGTATTTCCCCTGCAAAATACAGCTAAGCATATTTTTACATATTTTTGAAACAAGATATACACAGTATAAATGCAAAGGGAGCTAGCTCCTGTTCTTTTAATGGCGATTGTATCTAAAGCATCTTAAATAATCTCAATAATACATGTGAAAAGTATCTTTCATTAACGTAACATATTTGAGAAAATATGTGCACGGTCGGTGTATAAACGCAAATAATGAACTTTAAGATAGGTTTGAATAAATAAAGCCCGAAGTATTGCTAGGGGATAACAGATATATTCTAGATACAGAGAAAAGAAACTGAGCTGTATGCTTTGACAGTTGCATGACCAGTTAACAAATTGGATGTATTCGGCCATCCATACATATATTAAAAGTGCTTTACTTTAAAGTACGTAAGAGAAATTTCACATATTAAATGGTAAGCAATGAAAAAGAAATTATTAATTTATTGCAATATCTGTCTATCGGTAAATATTTAAACAAGATCCTGAAAAGCCAATATATAGCAACATTTTATGTAAATAATTTCACAGAGAAGTTAATGCTTAAATTGAGTTAAAGTTATCTAAATTAAGATAATTTTGTTTTTCCATATACAATTGATTTTTAATGCATTGGATTTCTCAGAATAGAATATATCGGGTTATACTGCTAAATGCTCTTAAATATTGCAAAATATTAGGATATGGCATTCACTAACCCTAACATTCAATACCCTAACCAACCATAAAAGGCGTTATATAAATATTATTATAGTGTTATTATTTTCATATCATGTTGTTTCTTCTATAACAGATCTATTTTTGTCGGCCAATTTCTCGCCAATCTTATCTGCCTACCTGTAACCATAACTGTCTTTATGTCAGCATCTCTAAGTTGGTGAATAACAGGGGTTGTCTCCTCCATAAGGCGGTTTTCCATGACCAGGAGACCAAGGAAATTCAAGTCTTTCTCCATATCCAGCCTGGAACAAACAGAGACTATAGTGAAAACTATCTATGTTTTATTATATCTAACCAAGTTACATTATCAACAAGCCTATTGAAAGGAAGATGCTGATAGGAGAGAACAAAATAAATAGACAATATAATATATAATAGTATACAACATTTACATGGCGCCCTAATAAATTTGCAAACTTATTCTAAGGCGCCTTACAACACATGAATAACAGTATTCCTACAACGACAGTTATAAATTCAGTAATAAATAGAGTAGATGAAAGTTAAAGGCAAACACAGGAGATGGGAGAAAACTTACAAAACAGAGGAAATAACTGAATATGGAAATAAAAATACATAAGAGAGATAACAAAGGCTAGTACAATATTGCAAGCTGTTTTCACATATGTCATACGTTCTATACCTCATTGAGTTTTTGATTTTGTTTTTTTTCTCCTATAAAGCCTGTTTCAAAATATTTAATGGTAAATCGATGTACATCTTGACAACCTCTTTATGATGGTCACGTGATTTTTCCTTGTCTATAAAATGACAAAAAGCACTATTTACCGGGGAACTTTCTGGACCTGGTCTTCTCTGACCTCACCCTCCAAATCTTTTCCTCCTAATGCCAATACACGGAATCCATGTTTAGTGTAGCTCTCCAAAATGTCATGGAAATCTGGCGGAACTATTAACGAAATATTTACCTTTATTCACCAAATATTTGTGTTATAAAATGTTTTTAGGTGCAATGCAAACTTCTTAAGAGTTGAAATATAAAACAAAACAAAAAATGCAGACACGGAAAATATAAACTATCACATTTTGTTAACTGTTCAATTTTGGATCTACGGTTTCAGAGGTCCAAACACCTCGATTTTGCCTGCATTATAAGGCTTTCTTATTCACTTCAAGATGTTGACTCTTGATCGTGCGCTATATTAGCGTTATCTGACTTAATAAGTCCTCGTGAACTTAACCTTATAACTTGCATGTCCCTTGAGCGGTCCTTCATCTGTAAATACGTTGTCCTATGACCATTACTGCTGCAAGGACACGAGGCATTATTTCAAAGGTTGGCTTTCCATACAACATTCGTTTATGAAAACAATATCGGGCCAATCCAACGCTGAGCTAGTCCAATATTGAATAAGTAACCAACTTTACTCTAGTATACATTTTTAGCACAAGCGACCAAATTATTATCTGTCGCAGTCTAGACGTTATGTTAAAGAAGAAAAATATTACCCGATTCTGGTTTGGAAAGTGATATTATCATCTCCGGAGCTCCTTTACAGTACACCATTAACTTGTCCTTGCCTTTCCCAGATTCGCTAACGATAACTGACATCCGCTGTAGGTTTGACGTGAAGGTAAACTGCCGGACAATCCCCAACATGTTTGTCTGGATAAGAAATTAACAAATATAGAAATACTTTATAGCTAATGTACCCATATCATTAATAGACAAACTCCATATTAAGGATCCCTCTTCCTTTGCCAGAAATAATATCTGTGTGTTGTAAACAGTTTTCCCGGCATGGTTATAGCTTTGATAAGTAATTTTCTGAAATCAAAACCCTACCTTGTGGAAAGTTTATGAATGAAATAGCAATAAAACAAAATATACTAGAACTATAAGTCAAAGGCTTACTTATACCCCCGCTACTATATAAACCAGAACTGTAAGTTAAAGGCTTACTAAGGGAAAGCATCGCAAAGCAATCCATAGTCTTCCACCAGTTATGATTTCTTTATTGACTAAGCTGTACACTTATTTAAATACACAGGTCACTGACATACTTCTTGTACTCCCTCCCCATGCCAAAACATACTTACATACCAAATCTTGTTAGCCCAGATGAACCAGTTTTGCTAAAATCGTAACTAGTAGTTAAGGATAAAACTGCAGGCCATTTCTTTTAACAAAGGGCCATAACTCCTTAAAAAGGTTCATAATGAAAAACATACTAGCCTAATGCACGACATCAGGGGGTAATTGCCCTATCTGTAAACTTTAATTGAAATCGACCCAGTGGTTAATGAGGCAGACAAAGGTTTATTCAACAAAGGGCCATAACGCCTTTTAAAAGGGTTGGAATGAACTCGGATGTACAACGTCAGTGGGGCAGTTATCATATCTGTAAACTTTCTTTGAAATAGGCCCAGGTGATAAGGAGAAGTTGTCAGGACAAATATATATTTAAAGAAAGGGCCATAACTCAGTAAAAGAAGGGTTGGGAAAAAATCTAGATGTACAACATCAGGGGGTAGTTAACATAACTGAAAACTTTTGTTGAAATTGGCCGCATAGTCTTGGAGGAGTTGTCTGGACAAGTATTTTTCAACAAAGGATCAATACTCAAAAAAAGGGGACAGATTGTCGAAAAAAAATATACCTGGAAACACAACATCAGGTGGTAGTCATCATATGTGAAAACTTTCATTGAAATTAGCTCAGGAGTTTTGGAGAAATTGTGCGGCCAAGCATTTTTCAACAAAGGGCAATAACTCCGTAAAACGGGTGAGAATGAAAAAAATAATACCTGAATGCACAATATCAGGTGGTAGGTATTATATCTGAAAACTTTCGTTGAAATTGGCTCCGTGGTTTTGGAGGAGTTGTCCGGACAAGGTTTTTTTAAACAAAGGGCCATAACTTTGTAAAAAAAGGGTCAGAATAAAAAAATAATACAAACATGCACAACTGCAGGTAGTAGTTAATATATCTGGAAACTTTCGTTGAAACCGATCCAAAACATTAGAAGGAGATGCCCGGACAAAAAGTTTCAAGATGTTTTCAACAAAGGGCCATACCTTCGTAAAAGAAAAGTCAGAATGAAAATATAATACCTACGTTCACAACTTCAGGTGGTATTTATCATATCTGGAAGGTTTCGTTGAAATCGGCCCATTGCTTTAGCAGGTATTGTCCGGACAATATTTTTCTACGGACGGACGGACAAGCTGATTCCAGTACACTCCCTAACTTCGTTGCGGGGGTACAACAAACAACAGTGTTCTGAGTGTTAAAATAAGTCTCACTAACCACCTGAGCTTACTGGTCAACGGAAGCACCCTGGCTCAATCGCGTTACAGTTATTTCAAAAAAGATATTAAAGGGAGATAAAGTGTTCGAAAAACTGAAGTGGAATTCTCTAGTGTTTTTGTTTGCTGTGGGACAAATATCCTGAAAAGTCAATACAAATACATAATAATAATAACATTTTAGAGACACCGAAACAAAATTAAAAAAACACATGGTTAATTATATTTTTTAACAGTAGAAAATTCCACTGAAGTTTTCCATACATATAGAATACCCCTTAATATATTTTTGAACATAACTGTAGTGGGACTGGGCCAGTAAACTCATTAGGTTAGCCGGTGGCCGAGGGTTCGACTTCCGGTCTGGCTCCCTGGTATTTTACTCTCAGATCACTTTTTAATCACTTTTCTATTTCAATTTTATGGTTTTGTCCTAAAAAGTTCCACAGGGTATGGGTATTCCCAGAAAATGATTTATTTATTGTCATGCCGAAACAAAATGTTTTCAATACACAGGGGTCCTTAAATTTGTATACATTGACATATCTATCGTTTGTTCGTAACATTTTCTGTGTAGGTACATATTATTCAATGACGTATGTTGGTACTTAAACATTTAGTGTGGTGAGAGAACATTTGTGTCATAATATTTTCAATGTAAAGGTTATCTTTTATTAAAAGCGTTTGATGGGGATGCATTTCGCTATCAAACTTCATGATGATGGTATAGTGCTCTTTGTAATTAAATGTTAAAAGCAAAGGCACATTTTTCTACAGTTGAAGATAACATATCAAATATAGCTAAATACAATACCGTGTATACCAAAAGCAACACAAACGTGCCACCCCCTAATAATGACATGTTTATTTGTCAATACATGAAATCAAATATTGATGTTGCAGCGCATACAAGCGTCCTTCAGACTAGGACACAGACGCAATTTAAACGGTATTCAGACCATATGTTACAGGCACTATATCATATACGTACATCAGACTTCTGTGTTGTCGGCAGTTTGACCACAGTAGAAACGGGTAAGGCAAACTGACTATGAGCTGCTCTTGATTCAGCCAGACTCTATAGATTAATAAAACCGTATCAGTTATATTATTAACATGACGTTCAATCATTTTAGTGGAATTCAATTATATGTTTTTTTCCGGTTTAAAGTATAAACAAGTAACACTAAGTAACACTTTTGTTAATTTTCACAGTACACTGGGCAGACTTTAATCTAAAAAACAAGGGTATATCGCCTAGCTTTGATCGTTACGTACAAGGTCTTACGTGTATCACATATTAACGTTCGAGCGATATAGACCACACAAATAAAATAAATAAAATAAATAGAATACCCTAACTCTCAGGTAGTGTATACGATACGTTTTGCGATAAGTTGAAAGATACTTGAAAAACCTTTGTTTTGAATGTTTTCTAAATATACGTGTAAGCATTGAAAAATCCTTATGAATGTTGACAAAGGTATACTTTATATCCGACTCACACAGGCTGTGGCTTCAAAAATAATGAGATCTAAGGGATCACCAGTTGTCTCCCCTTCTATAACAGTAAGTGAATGACACGTAGCCATGGCATTGAACAATGAACTTCCCATCCATTCCTGAAGTGTCTCAGTCTCGGGCAGATATCTTATAAACAAACAAACAAAATAAATAATATATGTCAATAGATTAAACTTCATGCATATCTTGTTATAAACTCTCGAGAGTGAATTTGTCCCTTTTTTAAAGTTTCATAAACAATATATGTGTGCATGGTAGAGGTTGTGGGTTGGGGTCTTTCAGCTTCGGCAGTATTATACCTCATGGGAGGGAGAGAAAGTAACTCAAGGTCTCGAACCAAAGATAACAGTTTACAACCTGATCAATTTATTTAAAACAAAAAGTGTGGTGTTGTTAACCTATCATTCATCACTCGTACCTGTTTGCAGACACCGGTACTATTCCTTGTAGCTTCAGACCATCTTCTGTCAGAGTACCTGTCTGTAAGATTGTCAGTATGGTACAAAAATAGATTAATACTTTAGGTATAAAGAGGCTGCATATTTCGTATTTCAAGACATTATTATGATATATATATTGTGTGTATTGGATTCGATGTGTTCTTAAATATCAGATATGAAACGAATATTGCTCATGACACTTAAAATATATTTAAGAAGAATTCATTATGCAACAAAAGATATAAAAAAACAAAAATGAAGAAAAGTGCTGCATTTTCGGGTCTCACTGAATTGAAGACTGATTTTTTACTGATGACGTTAGTTTTTTTGTTAAACAACAGATTTAACAATATCGAAAATTCATGAAATTTTCGTGAACACAATGAAAATGTCTCGCATGATAAAAACATTTTTTCCAATTATTACTAAATATAACCTTTAAAACTCCATAGCTGCACAAAGTAGAGATTGACAGAACTTGTATGAATAAAAAATTCAACCGTAAATTAAATTAAAGAGAATCTAATATTTTTGTATTTTGCAACTTTCGCCCATTCAAATTTTCGCCCTTATTAGGTGAAATCCGTATTTGCCCAAGATTAATTTCGCCCATCGCATTTACCTACTATATGCATAAAATTGTTCACTAATGGTAGATTCGCTACCATAACGGAGGGCGAAAATGTGAAAGTTAACCTACAACGAAACTTTACCGGTATGCATAACATATTTTAGCATATTTCTTTAGCGTTTTCACTCTAATGGGACGGGGCGCCTCGAGCCTTAAATTAAGACACAAAGGTCTAATTACCTTATCAAAGCAAAACACGTTGATTGTGCCGCTAACGTTGATGCTATTAGGACTTATACAGTAGATGTTACATTTTTGTAGACGACTCTGGGCGAACACCACACCAATCGTCAAGGCCAAGGGGAGCGCAGCCGGCACTGCTGTTGTGACTACGTCCAGCGACCGGAGGATTATCTCCGACGCGGAAAAGCCACGCTGTATCTAAACAAAAAATAGTTTTGTGATGAAGTATCAAGCCGTTTTTGTCACAAACAAAAAAGTACCAATATTCATATCTATGTTTAAATTTAAACATCTTTCATCGACCTAGAACGTTTCATATATAAATAAGATATATAAAATTCACCAAATAACTATTGCATCATTTGTTTCCTAGGCGGCGTCGTAATAAAAGCTCTACAGAGCTTATGTTTGTTGTTGACAATGTACACGACGTTAAATAAAGATTATTTTTTTATTTCATTTTATAACTTGTTATATCAATAACTTAATAAACTATTAATTTGTTATCATTTTGTTAATATTTTAACTAGCATATTGCTTGAGTGGCCTCACCATCTAAAAACTACGATTGTAATGATTGTGATCATAGCCGTTGTGATGACGTAAATTAGCAATCAACCAATCAATCATAATTATAAGAAAGTGAAACGTGGTCAATCAGTATACTACAAACAAACAAAGGAACATACCATGATTATGATAGTATACGTGAAACCCACGACTCCCATTAAAGAGAGCAAGCCTATAAAGATATAGCTATCTCGCTGAAACTTAAACTCGACAGGCTTGGGGTATAGGATTGATCTCACAAGGCCACCCTTTGTTGTACTGAAGCCTGTAAATGTAAAAATAAAAACAATTACGATATATCAATTTTTAAAAAATCCGGATTGTCATTAATATATTTTCGTTTCAACTGCAGTACACAATCAGATTATTATTTGTTTAGATAAAATGTAAAATGTCATAAAATGTATTCTTAATTTGAAATCATGTATTTTTTTTCTAATATTGAAAATAATTTGCATATTTTATGAGATTTGATAAAACAATATCACGAATTCAGCACCTCATATAATATATATAAACTTCATTTATTTTACAACAATTATGAAACAAGATATTTCAACTTACATAAATCACCCTTGTTACCCCATACCTTTTCGACCATGTGTTTTTTTCCGGGTACTCTGGTTTCCTCCTCATATATTAAGCTTACCTTTTATAGCGGTTGTACTATTTTTTGCGTGCTTTTTGCGCTTTAGCTATTGCGCTAAATTATGAGAGAGCTAAAAAATGTTTCTGTAGATTGCCATCCATCGCCTCCATTGCCTATATTGTATGTGAGCCTATTCATTGATTCATTAATCTGTCAAAATTCGATAATTTGAAATAAGTATCACAGCTTAAGAGCAGCAATGCTACATTCTTACTAGATTGCCTCTCTTCTTCATGAAAGATCAATAACTTAATTAGGTGTAATATATACTTATTAATGGTTCCATGACGAACCTGTGCGGACAACAATGGCTTTGACCTTGTCTTGACCTTGCTGCTGTGTCTGTATGACCTTGGTACCACAGAACAACACATGGCGCGCATGCTCCTTGATGCTAAACAGTTCCTCATTATCGTGTCTGGGTAGAGGAGTCTTAGTCATTGGGACGCTTTCACCTACATATTTATAGTGTTATATCACATATATTGTATTGAATTTCTTAGGATGTAGTACTATCATTCAATAATTATATTTAGAGTTTAACGTAAACAGATGTAAAAGTATCCTTTGGTGTCATATCGACGGAAATCGAATCGAAAGTAATCTTGTTTAACCCAACAGACAGAAGGGCCTTAAATGGTTGATGTATATGCCTGGCATTGAAAATCTTTGTTCAATTCTATCTACCGGTCAAATGCGCAATTAATTGGGTATACAATGAATATTGACCATAGGAGGTAATTTCTGCAATAATTTAGATGTGTTATGATACTCATATGTTTTGAAATTTCCATAATATTTATATTTGTATAATTATATTTCAAAAATATAATATAAATTGTACGTGTGCCATTCATTTTTCTTTACTTTTCATTGCATGGTTGTTTCGCAACATATTATATAGTGAAACAACAAAGAAAATTAAAGAAGTGATATCACCAATATTTAATCGATCCTGCCTTTGTGGCCACTGGATTCAACGTGCTGCATACTAAATCAATTGAAGAAAGAACTTTTTTTTCAATTAACTCTTCATTTATCAATAGAATCTAGAAAAAAAAGTAAAACATTGATAAGTAACCTACCTGTCAGCATGCTTTCGTTGACGATACAGTTTCCAGATACGAGTACTGCGTCACACTGCATCATGCAGCCTCGTCTTGGGATCTCTATGACGTCGCCAGGGACCAGGTCCTCGGAGGATATGTCCTCGTACACTGTTGTAAATGGTAATTAAGTATTACATGATATATTAATGTCGGATGCACATCCCTAAAACTAGAAAAAAGGGCACACATGGTAGTTAAATAAAAAATGACTACCTTCTTAGCACATATTCTGATAGTTGACGTCATCAATAGTATGACGTCATAAATGTGTGCTAAATATGACTGAACTTTCCTTGAGTATGGCTGGTTATTTGCTTAACATGTATACACATTGCATTTGTATTTTATGCTAGCTTTAATAAATATTTGTATTTGTTCAACACAAACGCACGTCACATCCGCATTAAACATAAATGAATAATTTAGTGAAGCCAGCATTAAGTTAAGTCAATTATTTAAAATCTTAAACAAATGTTTTTAAATATGGGTTACTCCCATAGTGCTTTTAAGCTGATATGTTTTTTATCATGTTTCGAGAAAATGATAAATTTTCTTATATGTTTTTACAGGTTTCACATTTCAGTACTTCCGGTTTTTTCATTTTCAAAGTCTCATTAATATAGCCACATGTATTTTCATTTATGAACGAACGCAAATTTTGTCACTCGGACAGTATTCCCTGGTTCATTAGTTGATATGACTTCCGTGTAATCGGTAAAGCTTGGTGAAATGTTGCTGAAACGCAGCCAAAAACATGAAAAGAATAATAAATTTGGTAAAAAAGAACAAGAATGATATATTTACCCTGGCCTCCCCGGCAGACAGATACTATTGTAGACATTGCAATCGTATTCCGCAGGGCTCTTTGCATCTATGTAAGGAACAGTCACAACCATTTATATGTGCATGTAAAGGATGTACTTTATATTCAATGCTATGCATGTGAGGTTGATATTTTTCTTCTTGTACATATAATTCAGTGAACTGTAAGGTGACTGTCTGCTAGATGCTACAAAACCAAGCATTTTGGCTTTTTATAGCCAATCTCGTAGATGCATGACGATAACGAACACTTACATATTTACAAGATATTTTTTATGTTATTAATATTTCCTTTCTCGTCTCACAGATGTTATTACTTGAAATCAAACTCTACTTTTTCTCCATGTGAGGTGTATGACGGCGGTTAATAATATTACCTTTCTGGTCTGGTAGATGTAACTCGCGATAGAGAAGAAGTTGATGACCAGGAGGCTGATGGTATAGTAATAATATTGTTCTTGAAGCCAAAGAGCACACGAAAACATTTGAAATATGTAGAACGGTGACATCACCTACAAATAGGAGAATCCTTAATTCTTTGTATATCTTAGTTATATTAAATTTCAAAACAAGATATTTTACCAAGTTTACGTTTTTTCATAGTTTCAACCATGCACATCGAGGCTTATTCAAAACATAGAGGATTTATTCTCACAGTGGTAAGAACCAAGTGTTATTACAAAAAATCCTGTCGTCGAAAACAGTTCGTGGGACAAATGAATCTAGAAAAGATAAAGTGTGATAATGAATTATTATTAACATTGCCTTTTATCATTAATTTAAACAAAACGTGTCAATATTTAAGGACTGCGTTAAATTTAATAGTAGGTTAAAAAGACATTAAAAATTTGGTTGATATGTTTACCTGCTTTAAGATTATCTCTATCACAGGTGATACGTGAACTCGAATGGAATTTTCTCCAAACCTAATACGCCTACAGTTAAAAACAAATGCCATTTGTTACATATTTTATCATTGAAATATAAGAAAATATCAACTTGAAAAAACATTGTTATTCACGGCAGTGAAGGCATAGAAGCAAGTGGCTGTTTTTGTATATATTTGGTACATACACTAAGATATACCATCACTAAATTGGTAGCATTGTTCTAAGCAAATTGCACCTTATAATGGCAGAAACTAGTTTTGTCGTTGCAGAACTTTCAAATGTATTTAATAAAGAATTGAAAAGCTAAGACAATTGCAAAAGTATCCCCGTAACATTGCTAAAATCATAACTATACATGTTTTCCGGTATAATCATATCTTAAACAAAACAGTTCTGAAAAAAACCCATAACTTGCAGAAATATTTTCGAAAAAACAAAATGAACAAAAAACGAATCAACAAAGTGATCTGGAAGTAAATATGTCTCTGGACTATATCAGGATTTGAAACATGAACCTCCGGTCATGAGATTGTCGCTCTAACCAACTCATATTTGGTAGTACTCTGGCCCTGTCCATCAACATATCAAAAACGAAATAAAGGGGAAGTTACTGTAGGTACGAGAAACTTAAATGAATATCTCGTGTTAAGCAGAGGAAGAAGGATCCGTAAAGAGAGATGTAATGAATAATAATTCATTTTGGAAGAGTACCTTAAGCAGTTACAGATTTTTATATTTAGTTATTTACGCCCATTTCATTGGTTTTTAAAATAATTGTATTGATTAATGTATATGCTTATTGTATTCATTATATTAAATTGTATATCTATGTACTGTAAAGCGCTTTAGAGTGGCTTATGTTAGCTAGATAGGGCGCTATATCAAATGTTGTATATATATTAAAATCTTACCTTTCCTGTTGTTGATCTTTAGACAAACCCTCAAGTTTATGAAAGAATGAACAGTCTGTATTGTCCTCAAGACCCCTATAAGAAACACAAAGGTTAACTGACCGGTAATTTTGACCGGAACGTTATGTTTTTCGCCAATGAATTGACCACAAGTGAGCAAAATGGTTCACGTTTGAAAGTTAAATTTGAAAGAAAGGTACATAAAATATATATTCCAGACATTTTAAGAAAATACAAAATGAAATAACGTATTTATGATGAAATGATATAACTGTCTTTAAAATAAAATAAGTTCAACTCTGATAGTCCATTGATCGTCTTATCAATTTATGGTCGTCTTGTCATTCGTTCTACTTTTTCAAACAGGAAGTTTATTTTTAAAAAGAGATGCAATGAATAATAATTCATTTTGGAAGGATACCTTAGGCAGTTGCAGATTTTTATATTAAGTTATTTATCCTTTAACCCCATTTTAATGGTTTCTAAAACGATACACTTACTTCATTTTCTGAAAAACGTTTGTCTCATCATTCCAAATGTATTTCTCTTTCTTGGTAATAAAATACCTTGAAAAGTCAATATTAAACTGGAAAAGAAAAAACAACTAAACATTTAACTGTTAAGTCACTGATATAAAGAAATAAATAACAGAAAATAGAACCAACATATCTCTGATTGCATCAAAACTCACGTAGTCATTTAACCGACATAATTTAAGAGATGTTATTTTTTTCACACACTTTATTTTTATCAAATTGTATATCGAAGAAATCAACACCGAACCCTACTTCGTTCTTTTTCTTAAAATATGCATTAGAATTTTATGTTTATGTAATATCTTTTTTATTTATATATTCATGTTTAAACGATGCAAAAAAAAATGTAAAGAGAAAAGAGACAAAATAAAAAAAAAATGTGTTTTTTCTTTTCCTATCTTCGTCCTTTCATATCCTCGAAATTCCAGTTGATTAGCTTTCTTACGCTCACTGCACTCTTGGATATGTCATGACTGACAAAAGCTTAGGCCTGCAGTTACCTATTTGATTGGATTCAGGTAAAAGAAATCTTACCAAACACTATGCTAATACTTGTCTCTTGAAAATAGGAGGAGCGACACTTGACTTCTAACACACCTGCAGGTCGCAGGATGAGAAACTGCTGTACCCCACTGCATGATCTTTAGGGGCGACTAATGAGGGAATCCCCTGCAGAACCTGGGATTTGCGGTTGCGCCTTCTACTCGTTGACACAAAAACGACTAAAATAAGTCTGCTGCACCAATTGCAGTATTTCTAGCTCTTTGCTTGGCAATACCTCATTTTTGTCTTTGATATTGAACGTTCGCGCAGGTGAGGAAAGCACTAGGCCCTGTCCCAATGCCGGGACATACCAAAGTCCTTAAAAATGGTAGTTGTCATTCTCTGCTTAACATAAAGCTGTTGGGGTAACTGCAACAACTGGCATAGCTGTTGGCGGTTTAATGTGACCGGATCGAATGCTGTTTTGGTGCCTTCGGCTGTTTTTTTCTTTTTGCAGTGAGGTATCAGATATGCGCTATCACATGGACATCTACATACCCTGACTCCGGCACATATACACACATACACGCTTACACAAGCCACATGGATGCACGTCATTAAATGTCCATATCTGTTGAAAGAACGTTGAATCCAGGATCACGTTTTCTGATCGTCGTGATATTTTCCACGATGATACACTTATTCCGTCTTTTCGTATTGCAGATTTATCTTCTCGTGTGAGCAGGTATTGATTGTTACGGCATTTGTTTGTGAGAGAAACGTCATCAATTTTTGAGAAAACGACGTAATTTTATCACACAAACCAATGACGTACGATAAATACCTGCTCACAAGAGAAGATATTTCTTAGTGTTGGAAACACTTACCGAGTCGCATCCTACAGCAGTTAAAGCAGTCATACTCTCCAAGACTACTGATGAGGATGATGTTTTGTAACCAACTCCAGTTACAGCAGCTACTTTCCTCTTCTTGATCCTTAATTATAATAAAACGTGTTATATGTAAAATATTCTGAAACCATTACTTAAAACAATTGATTCAATATATTAGCCTAGATTTCATATACCAATAACATGCAATGGTATAGAATCAGAGAAATGTGTGTAACTAAATGATATATTTTTTTATTTATTCAAAACAAACTTTCGATGAAAAAAAAAATCATTTTGTTAACAATGAAAACAGATTAAGTCAGTATGCATACCAAGTGTTATGTAGTGGTTCTTCCTGACTGGTCTTTACTCTGGAGACAAAACACTGTTGATACTGGTCCTGTAAGAAGTGTCAGATGAACACACACACATGTTATTCTTAACTGTACATGCCATTGGGAACATGTGCAGATAAAGTGATAAGATACGGTTTTCTTTTTAGGTTTTTGTGTGTGTGTGCAGGGTATAAGATAAAGGGTTAAAAGCTGGAGCATGTACTAGCGTGTGATGAGGGCTTCAAGGGCTGTATAGGGTATATGCGCCTTGAAGTCCTCGAGTCAGTTTTGTATGTTAAAAAATTATGTTATATAAGTCAGTGTCGTGTGTTAAAAAGTCAGGTTATATAAGTAAGTGTTGTATGTAAAGTTGTCAGGCTATATAGGTCAGTGTTGTGAGTTAAAAAGTCAGGTAATATAGGTCAGTGTTGTGAGTTAAAAAGTCAGGTTATAGAAGTCAGTGTTGTGTGTTAAAAAGTTATGTTATATAAGTAAGTGTTGTGTGTTAAAACGTCAGGTTATATAGGTCAGTGTTGGGTGTAAAAAAGTCAGGTTATATAGGTCAGTGTTGTGTGTTAAAAAGTCAGGTTATATAGGTCAGTGTTGGGTGTTAAAAAGTCAGGTTATATAAGTCAGTGATATTTGTTAAAAAGTCAGGTTATATAGGTCAGTGTTGGGTGTAAAAAAGTCAGGTTATATAGGTCAGTGCTGTGTGTTAAAAAGTCAGGTAATATAGGTTAGTGTTGTGTGTTAAAAAGTCAGGTTATATAAGTCAGTGGTGTGTGTAAAGTTGTCAAGTTATATAGGTCAGTGTTGGGAGTTAAAAAGTCAAATTATATAAGTCAGTGTTGTGAGTTAAAAAGTCAGGTTATATAAGTCAGTGTTGTGAGTTAACAGTTCAGGTTATATAGGTCAGTGTTGTGTGCTAAAAGGGCAGGTTATATAAGTCAGTGATATTTGATAAAAAGTCAGGTAATATAGGTCAGTGGTGTGTGTTAAAAAGTCAGGTAATATAGGTCAATGGTGTGTGTTAAAAAGTCAGGTTATATAAGTCAGTGTTGTGAGTTAAAAAGTCAGGTTATATAAGTAAGTGTTGTGTGTAAAGTTGTCAGGTTAAATAGGCCAGTGTTGTGAGTTAAAAGGTCAGGTTATATAGGTCAGTGTTGTGTGTTAAAAAGTCAGGTAATATAGGTCAATGGTGTGTGTTAAAAAGTCAGGTTATATAAGTCAGTGTTGTGAGTTAAAAAGTCAGGTTATATAAGTAAGTGTTGTGTGTAAAGTTGTCAGGTTAAATAGGCCAGTGTTGTGTGTAACGTTGTCAGGTTATATAGGTCAGTGTTGTGTGTTAAAAAGTCAGGTAATATAGGTCAGTGTTGTAAGTTAAAAAGTCAGGTTATATAAGTGAGTGTTGTGTGTTAAGTTGTCAGGTTATATAAGTCAGTGTTGTGAGTTAAAAAGGCAGGTTAAGTGTTGTGTGTAAAGTTGTCAAGTTAAATAGGCCAGTGTTGTGTGTAAAATTGTCAGGTTATATAGGTCAGTGTTGTGAGTTAAAAAGTCAGGTTATATAAGTCTGTGTTGTGTGTAAAGTTGTCAGGTTATATAGGTCAGTGTTGTGTGTTAAAAAGTAAGGTTATATAGGTCAGTGTTGTGTGTAAAGCTGTCAGGTTATATAGGTCAATGTTGTGAGTTAAAAAGTCAGGTTATATAAGTGAGTGTTGTGTGTAAAGCTGTCAGGTTATATAGGTCAGTGTTGTGTGTAAAGTTGTCAGGTTATATAGGTCAATGTTGTGAGTTAAAAAGTCAGGTTATATAGGTCAATTGCAACATCTTTCTATTATCGTTTTTTTCTATTTAGAAACGTGAACGTAACACACCAACACACATGATTGTACCTTTAACATCTGGTAATAGAAAGCGTTTCCGTCCCTCTAGGATACATCGGTGATGCTAGCGGCCAAAATGGTGAAAATCAAATTCGGTCTAAGCTACTGTTTAAACACAAGTGGCGGTACAAAATCACTAAATTACATGAATTACCAGAAGTGAAGGAGAATTGGTTAAAAACTTAATGAGTGATTGTTTTATAAGGTTTCTCTCTTGATCGCGAACCTATGTTTCCCTACCCGTAGTTAACGGCACGTTTGGACGGAAAGACATAACCTGTTTGCATACAAAGAATGAAAGGAAGAGGTGAGCTTAACTTACACTGCATGTTAAGAAACATCTGTGAATAATACCAATCTCTCACAATAAAATATTAAAAGATAGACTTAACACACACACATAGGTGCTTGCATCTTTAAAAAAATAATTATTGATACATTCTGCCATATATAAAATATACTGCATTATACAGATGTTTCTTCATTGCAGGACTCATAGGTAATGCTAGGGGTCGAAAAGTTAGAAAATTCAAATTTGTCTAAACTAATGCAGAAATAGCAAGGGGGGAGGGTACGTAAAAAAACCACTTTAATTTATGAAACACAAAATTAAGGGAAAAGAGGAACTGGTTGATTTCAAATTAAATCATGTGTAAAGTATAGAATGAACCGTGCCAATACCATCCTCGATACTCCAGGGGTTACGCTCATTTACGCTTTCTGCACCCCTGGATTTATATCATGATGAAATTTAAGGCTCTGAACTCGCCACCAGGTGAATGAGACAAGACGAATAGTTTGATCCTCTGATGGTTATCAAAGGTTTGGTTTGGTTTAGTATTGTTTAACGTCCTATCAACAGATATGGTCATTTAAGGACGGCCTTCCCTGTGTGCAAGATGCATGTGTGTAGTGTATGCGTGTGTTTTGGGAGGCTGCGATATGTTCGTGTTTGTCTCCTTGTGATAGCGCGGAACTGATGCCGACTTTATAGTGCTACCTCACTGAAACATACTGCCAGCAGGACATCCCACCCGGTCACATTATACTGACAACGGGCGAACCAGTCGTCCCACTTCTAAATTGCCGAGCGTTAAGCAGGGGTAGAAACTACCATTTTTACAGACTCTGGTATATCTCGGCCAGGGAACACAACCCAAAGCCTTTCTCATAGGGGCAACGCTCAACTCAAGGCCAAAAGTGAGGCATTGTCAAGGGTGACATTAGGAAGAAGAAAGTGGTTTAAAAATAAGAGAAAAGATAAGATCCAAAATTTAGTCGCCTCGTACGTCAAAGAATCTCGCAATAGCATTACGGTAAAATTGACTGGCTTTAAAGTCGAGTGTCGCTCCACTGCAATCTTCAAAGGACAAGTAACAGTCCTAGCGATTGATCAGTGTCTTTTTTTACCTGAGGCCAATCAAATATCTATCTTCGTGCCTTCAATTTTATCATTACATATTCAAGGGATACAAAGAACGTAACTAAGCGTAACCCTTGCAATATCGAGGATGTGCCACAACTCAAAAGAATGATAGATAAATGTGGCTACCAAGGTTAACGAATGCATTGCCATGTTTAACTATTTCTATTCACCAAATTCTTTTTTTCCCAAAATTTTGGTTTCCTTATTGCTTTATCAGGTTTTTCTCCTTTTTTTAACCGATCTAATGTAAATTTGCTTGCACACAGTTAACTGCAAGTTCGGACGGGAAAACATAACCTATATGCATACAAAAATAATTAACGGAGGAGGGGCGATACACTCACGCAGCATGTAGTATAACTTAAACATATACGCGAACATCACCAATCTCTGAAAAATAAGTAACACAGTAACTTATTACGTGTGTTAGCATGTTTATGTAAAATGGCAAACAAATGTGTTACTGATTTTGACTGCCAACACCAAACATCACATTATGTAAAATTAGTACGTCCAATTTGTTGTAATAACAGTAGTCTTTAAGGACAGACTTGACTGTGGGGATAATAATGATTGCATGCTCCAGATCGCATCGCATGTGAGAACTCTGTATCATAGGATGTGGGAACCAGTAGAAATAACACAGTAATTTATAACGTGTGTAAGTATGTAAGGGCAGATTTGACTTTGGGATCCCTACCTTAAGAAGAACGATGCTTGCATGTTGTAGGTCGCATTGAGTGTGAGAACTCTTTATCATTAGATGTGGGAACCAGTAGAAATAACACAGTCACTTGTACCATGGGTAAGTCTTTAAGGACAGACTTGACTGTGTGGTTCCTACCTTGAGGAGAACGATGCTAGCATGTTGTAGGTCGCATCGCGTGTGAGAACTCTTTATCATTAGATGTGGGAACCAATAGTAAAACAGACGAAGTAGTCCTCCGGTCATAACGATGAGACCCCATACGATAACTATCTTAAGGGTGTTGGGGTAATATCCAATGATTTCCTTCAACAGAAAAAAAGCGAGATTGCATTAAAGATATACAGTAAAACCTCGTTATACTGCAACCATTCGTCCAGAGAAATATTTGGCGCTATAACGGGGTTTGGCGAAAAAATGAGGGAAACGTATTAGGGAATTCTTAAGAAAAACGAAAAGAAGAAATATTGAAACATGGTGGCGGTAAACAAGGTTGCATTTTTTTCATTTCATTTCAGAATATATGTTGTTCAGATCTTGGATACAAAGTAATTGGGCAAGAGGCAAAGCCTATGAGCGCCCTCTCCTTATTGAGATGGCAAATGAAACGAGGAGCATTTTATCGAGGTTTTACTGCATTGAACAGTTAGAATGGTATGCACGTGTATTAAAGTTTGGGGACCTTCATTCTGGAAGACCAGAGACATTGACGAGATATTTTTTTTCTGGTGAAATACTAGTGATTCTGAAATGTTAGCTGTATTTCATCTATTTTGTTTTTTAGATAAGTCTTACCAGCCAATCAACACAATAAGAGATTTAAATATTACTAGTTCTTATTGCCAAGTATACAAAGATGTTAAATATTACAAGCTGCTATGGCCGAGTTTACAAAAAAACGTTACGCCCGAGAAGGTCTCATGTCCTATATGATGTGAGAACTAACCATCTGGTCATCCTTGTCAGGATTTAGGTACTGGTGTCCTGGTTTCATAGGTGGAGGGCCCGACCTCCTCTCTTTCTCCTTCTTATCTAAAAATAAAATACACATTATTTATCATCTTAAATAGTTTATCGAATACTTTGTTCATTAATATTGTTATAGCATTTGTTTTCCTTTAAAACGCAGAGTGCCCGTTACTAACATGCTCATCTTCGATACTCCAGGGGTAACGCTCACGTTCTCTCTCTGCACCCCAAGAATATGTCATAGCAAAATCGAAAGCTCAGTGTGCAGCACCTTGTGGATGAGACGAGAAGACTAGTTCGACCCTTTGATGTACATCAAAAGAATCTCGCGGTCGCCTAACGGTAAAACTGACTGGCTTTGAAGTCGAGTGTCGCTCCTCTGTAATATTCACAGAATAGGTATCGCCCTAGCGATTGGTCAGTTTTTATTACCCAATACCAATAAAATAGCTAGCCGCGTCCCTTCGATTTTGCTATGACATATTCGAGGAGTGCAAAATGCAAAAGTGATGAGCGGAACCCCTGGATTATCGAGGATGGTTTGGTTTGTTTGTCTTTTACGTCCTATTAACAGCTATAGTCATTTAGGACGTGCCATGATGGTGGAGGAAAGCCAGAGTTCCCGGAGAAAAAACACCGACCAACGGCCAGTACTTGGCGACTGCCCCACGTAGGTCTCGAACCCGCGACCCAGTGGTGGAGTCGAACTAGCAAAATGTCAGACACCTTAACCACTTGGCCATCCAATTCATATGACAGGAACAGCTGTACGATAAGCGTGCAAATTGCGATTTTCCTATCGTGAACTTACCATTCCTTGATAGTAACACCCCTGCTTCCCCAACATGTGGTATTTACACATTGCAGTTGATTCGATAATATTAAATAGCTTGATCCGAATATCATGGCTTCCATCAAAGACGTCGACTGGTGACAGACAGTTTAACAACACAGTCTTTTGAAAGATGCAGGTTAATATAGACTATGGGCAAGTTTAACGGTGGCCATCACGATCCCTCTGGGAAAATGTTTTGTTTTCCTGTGTGGAATGAAGTTCGATGATTTGATTATGTTAATAAATGTGACGTTTGGATTCATTATCATTACCCAAGTTTGCGATGTAAGGAACTGACATTACTGGATTTGACCTAGATTTACATGTCGGATGTCGTCCCTTTCGGAAGGCGTAGTTAATAATTTCTTCATCCTCAATATCCAGGGGTTAAGCTCAATTTCACTCTCTAGACCCGGGGGGGGNCAAATTCTCTGAAACAATGGTAAAAATGTAGGTTTTTGGTTAAAATGTTGATGTTTGTGTCATGCCTTTCATGTGCATGTAGTTTAGGCGAGCATTTTGGCAATTAAATATTGATTTATTTTGTCATAAATATGAATTATGATTTAACTGTCTTTTATTGTGAATTTGTATGCATGCATATGTACAAGGGCAACACCTGTTAAAAAGGATATATATATACATGCCAGGCTTTTATGCTAACATTGGTTATTATTCACCTGATAACGTGATGCTAAGGTGGCAATCTAATTAAAATAATATCTTCACATCGATCCCGTTTTACGGGATCGATGTGAAGATATAACTAGAATACTAAGGTAGATGCTTTACTGTCTTTTAAATTTTTGAAATTTAAATTTTTTAACAGGTATAATAAATCACTCCTGGTGATCATGTGTACATGAAACCACAGGTGAAAATACAGGTTTATCTATCATGAAATGGACTCTACCTTTGAAATAACAATTAACATATATCCTCTCTCAACGGACAGGGTGACCACCACACCGTGACATTAGAACAATACGATTAGGTAGACAGTCCGTTGAGCCTTCACCACTAACCTGACTGGAACAAAAGAGGATTAATCCCCTATTGTTTAGAGTATAAGTAGTGAACTCCTTGTTTGGACAACTGCACCCTTAGGCATATATAGATATTCAAACTGCTGCTTGCCATAGAAAATCATAGTTCACAGGATGGTTGATATTAGAAGAAAATCCCATATGAAGAAGAGGAAAATCTTCAAAAACCTAAGTCCAGATTATTTTAAGACACAGAAAAAAGGTTGTTGCCCGGGCAACTAGGGCAACACCCCTGGGTCCGCCACTGAGATCCCTGGAATATGTCATAGCAAAATTGATGGCTCAGTGTGCAACACCTTGTTTGTGGATGAGACGGGAAGACTAGTTTGGTCCTTTGATGTACATCATAAGAATCTCGCGGTTGCGTAACGGTAAAAATGACAGGTTTTGAAGTCGGGCGTCGCTCCATTGTAATCTTCAAAGGACACGTATCAGACTAGTGATTGGTCAGGTTTTTTTTTACCTGACACCAATCAAATAGCTAGCCGCGTGCCTTCAATTTTGCTATGAGAGGGGTGTAGAGCAAAGGTAAGGGTAACCCTCGGATATCGAGGATGTATGTTCTTGTACTGTGGGCATCCACATTAATCTTTCTTTTGTTCATATTTCTCCCTAGTTTTATCAATCTGATTTTTTAATTACGGTTTTGTAGACACTTTAGTGATCCCTTATCGTTGGTTTTTTTTTTTTTATCAAAAAAGGATTGTTTCCCTCTCATATTCTGATCAATTTAATTTCAGTTTTCTTTTCATTAGCAAAAATATGAGGTTTTGGTTGGTTCTATCTTGAAATATGGAGATGAGTAAAATGAATTTGCTAAACAATAACATATTGTTTAAACCAACATGAAATAAAAACATGTACCGTTAGTATTTCGATTAGAAGTTTGTTGACATGTAATTCTCGCAAGAAAGGTTTGCGTGGAGCGAGTACAGAGAGTAACTAAAACACTTACCCTTTTTCGTCATGATATCGAGCTTTTAATCTCACAAGCCCCTTCTCCGAGTTTGTGTATCAAATAGCGTAGAACACAATGACATACAGATGTCAGTTTCATTACAATATCAGATAGTCATGTGATCATGTTCTGCATCACATTCCCGTGTTTTGTACAGTCTGTTGTATCGTGACACTGAGAGAGAGTTATCTTATGACTGTATACTGTACTACTAGTGTGTTCTATCCAGTCTGTTTATGTAGCAGAGCCCATCGTATCAGTTACCTATATCGTGTGGGTTTATAGTTAGATATCTGCCTTTATCTTATACATATAGGCTCCGATACAGTGCATCAAAACCTGTACATGATTTTGTTTTATAAGTAAGTATTGTGTGAAATATCATCCACTGAGACGCCACAAAAAATAATACGATGACGTCACAGGGAACAATATTATGACGTCACATGGTACATTACGATGACGTCACAATTAACGGTAAGGACATTATATTACTGAGGTGCGTTCGGTAGTGTTTTTTTTTCTCTTAGAATTTTCTTACTACATAATAAAAAAAATGTGAAATTAAACATGCTTTACTTAATTATTTGATCAATACTAATTCCGATTTCATTTTAACTCGCTAAAGCTCGTAAACATCCTCTATTCCGTCTTTGCTTATTGCAGAGTTATCTTCTCTTGGGAGCAGGTATTGATTGTTACGTCACTTGTTTGTGAGAATAACGTCATCAATCTTTGAGAATACGACGTAATTTTCTCACACAGACCAATGACGTAACAATCAATACCTGCTCCCAAGAGAAGATAACTCTGCAATACGCAAAGACGGAATATGCAATTGGGAACTCGCTTTGAGATATATGGTAGTTTGCAGCATGCGTCTTGTGATAATATTTCCACTTCTTTGATAGTGTCTTACGATGCATCCTCGATATCCAGGGTTACGCTCACTTTCGCTCTCTGCACCCCTGGAATATGTCATAGCAAAATTGATGGCTCAGTGTGCAACACCTTGTTTGTGGATGAGACGGGAAGACTAGTTTGGTCCTTTGATGTACATCATAAGAATCTCGCGGTTGCGTAACGGTAAAAATGACAGGTTTTGAAGTCGGGCGTCGCTCCATTGTAATCTTCAAAGGACACGTATCAGACTAGTGATTGGTCAGGTTTTTTTTACCTGACACCAATCAAATAGCTAGCCGCGTGCCTTCAATTTTGCTATGAGAGGGGTGTAGAGCAAAGGTAAGGGTAACCCTTGGATATCGAGGATGTATGTTCTTGTACTGTGGGCATCCACATTAATCTTTCTTTTGTTCATATTTCGCCCTAGTTTTATCAATCTGATTTTTTAATTACGGTTTTGTAGACACTTTAGTGATCCCTTATCGTTGTTTTTTTTATCAAAAAAGGATTGTTTCCCTCTCATATTCTGATCAATTTAATTTCAGTTTTCTTTTCATTAGCAAAAATATGAGGTTTTGGTTGGTTCTATCTTGAAATATGGAGATGAGTAAAATGAATTTGCTAAACAATAACATATTGTTTAAACCAACATGAAATAAAAACATGTACCGTTAGTATTTCGATTAGAAGTTTGTTGACATGTAATTCTCGCAAGAAAGGTTTGCGTGGAGCGAGTACAGAGAGTAACTAAAACACTTACCCTTTTTCGTCATGATATCGAGCTTTTAATCTCACAAGCCCCTTCTCCGAGTTTGTGTATCAAATAGCGTAGAACACAATGACATACAGATGTCAGTTTCATTACAATATCAGATAGTCATGTGATCATGTTCTGCATCACATTCCCGTGTTTTGTACAGTCTGTTGTATCGTGACACTGAGAGAGAGTTATCTTATGACTGTATACTGTACTACTAGTGTGTTCTATCCAGTCTGTTTATGTAGCAGAGCCCATCGTATCAGTTACCTATATCGTGTGGGTTTATAGTTAGATATCTGCCTTTATCTTATACATATAGGCTCCGATACAGTGCATCAAAACCTGTACATGATTTTGTTTTATAAGTAAGTATTGTGTGAAATATCATCCACTGAGACGCCACAAAAAATAATACGATGACGTCACAGGGAACAATATTATGACGTCACATGGTACATTACGATGACGTCACAATTAACGGTAAGGACATTATATTACTGAGGTGCGTTCGGTAGTGTTTTTTTTTCTCTTAGAATTTTCTTACTACATAATAAAAAAAATGTGAAATTAAACATGCTTTACTTAATTATTTGATCAATACTAATTCCGATTTCATTTTAACTCGCTAAAGCTCGTAAACATCCTCTATTCCGTCTTTGCTTATTGCAGAGTTATCTTCTCTTGGGAGCAGGTATTGATTGTTACGTCACTTGTTTGTGAGAATAACGTCATCAATCTTTGAGAATACGACGTAATTTTCTCACACAGACCAATGACGTAACAATCAATACCTGCTCCCAAGAGAAGATAACTCTGCAATACGCAAAGACGGAATATGCAATTGGGAACTCGCTTTGAGATATATGGTAGTTTGCAGCATGCGTCTTGTGATAATATTTCCACTTCTTTGATAGTGTCTTACGATGCATCCTCGATATCCAGGGTTACGCTCACTTTCGCTCTCTGCACCCCTGGAATATGTCATAGCAAAATTGATGGCTCAGTGTGCAACACCTTGTTTGTGGATGAGACGGGAAGACTAGTTTGGTCCTTTGATGTACATCATAAGAATCTCGCGGTTGCGTAACGGTAAAAATGACAGGTTTTGAAGTCGGGCGTCGCTCCATTGTAATCTTCAAAGGACACGTATCAGACTAGTGATTGGTCAGGTTTTTTTTACCTGACACCAATCAAATAGCTAGCCGCGTGCCTTCAATTTTGCTATGAGAGGGGTGTAGAGCAAAGGTAAGGGTAACCCTTGGATATCGAGGATGTATGTTCTTGTACTGTGGGCATCCACATTAATCTTTCTTTTGTTCATATTTCGCCCTAGTTTTATCAATCTGATTTTTTAATTACGGTTTTGTAGACACTTTAGTGATCCCTTATCGTTGTTTTTTTTATCAAAAAAGGATTGTTTCCCTCTCATATTCTGATCAATTTAATTTCAGTTTTCTTTTCATTAGCAAAAATATGAGGTTTTGGTTGGTTCTATCTTGAAATATGGAGATGAGTAAAATGAATTTGCTAAACAATAACATATTGTTTAAACCAACATGAAATAAAAACATGTACCGTTAGTATTTCGATTAGAAGTTTGTTGACATGTAATTCTCGCAAGAAAGGTTTGCGTGGAGCGAGTACAGAGAGTAACTAAAACACTTACCCTTTTTCGTCATGATATCGAGCTTTTAATCTCACAAGCCCCTTCTCCGAGTTTGTGTATCAAATAGCGTAGAACACAATGACATACAGATGTCAGTTTCATTACAATATCAGATAGTCATGTGATCATGTTCTGCATCACATTCCCGTGTTTTGTACAGTCTGTTGTATCGTGACACTGAGAGAGAGTTATCTTATGACTGTATACTGTACTACTAGTGTGTTCTATCCAGTCTGTTTATGTAGCAGAGCCCATCGTATCAGTTACCTATATCGTGTGGGTTTATAGTTAGATATCTGCCTTTATCTTATACATATAGGCTCCGATACAGTGCATCAAAACCTGTACATGATTTTGTTTTATAAGTAAGTATTGTGTGAAATATCATCCACTGAGACGCCACAAAAAATAATACGATGACGTCACAGGGAACAATATTATGACGTCACATGGTACATTACGATGACGTCACAATTAACGGTAAGGACATTATATTACTGAGGTGCGTTCGGTAGTGTTTTTTTTTCTCTTAGAATTTTCTTACTACATAATAAAAAAAATGTGAAATTAAACATGCTTTACTTAATTATTTGATCAATACTAATTCCGATTTCATTTTAACTCGCTAAAGCTCGTAAACATCCTCTATTCCGTCTTTGCTTATTGCAGAGTTATCTTCTCTTGGGAGCAGGTATTGATTGTTACGTCACTTGTTTGTGAGAATAACGTCATCAATCTTTGAGAATACGACGTAATTTTCTCACACAGACCAATGACGTAACAATCAATACCTGCTCCCAAGAGAAGATAACTCTGCAATACGCAAAGACGGAATATGCAATTGGGAACTCGCTTTGAGATATATGGTAGTTTGCAGCATGCGTCTTGTGATAATATTTCCACTTCTTTGATAGTGTCTTACGATGCATCCTCGATATCCAGGGTTACGCTCACTTTCGCTCTCTGCACCCCTGGAATATACCATAGCAAAATTGAAGGCTCACTGTGCAGCACCTTGTGGGCGAGACGAGACGAGAAGACTAGTATCAAAAGAATCTCGCGGTCACGTAACGGTAAAGATTGACAGGCTTTGAAGTTGAGTGTCTCTCCTTTGTAATCTTCAAAGGACAGGTATCAGCCTAGCGATTGGTCAGGTGTTTTTTTTTTTTACCTGAAACCAATCAAACAGCTATCTTCGTGCCTTCAATTTTGCTATGACATATTCCAGAGGTATAGAGAGCAAAAGTGAGCGTAACCCCTGGATATCGAGGATGTTCACGATGAAGATAGTCATCTGATTGATAGTAAGTGTCTTGCAATGAAATATCCACTCATTTGAAAGTTGATAGTATGTGTTCTATGATAAACGTGTCCATTTGTTTGATAAGCAATGCCTCAGAATTAACACTTTATTGGTGGTATATGTTACCAGCATATAGGCACTACGTTTTACTACGTTCCGAGATTATAAAGAATCTCAAACAATTCACAATTACTGTTATTTTTCATTATTCAATCAAAGAATGTTAAATTCCATCTATTGGCAATTATTTCAGGGAAAATCAAAGAAAACACTACCATGATATCAAAGTTTTACTTTTTACACAAACGATGTACGTATTATACGTGTAGCAACGTTTCAAGACCGACTGGACCCTTTGTCAATCTGTGACTTAGTGAGAGATTAGTATTATCTCAATATTGAAACGCTGCGACACGTTTAATACGTACATTGTTTGTGTAAAAAGAATAACTTGGATATCACTTATTTCCAAACTGAGAAACCTTATTGAAGAAAACACTACCAGTTTA